TTGTTTTCGAGCAATTCAAGCAACCAAACATATTGTGGCATTCTCATAGATTGCAAACCAGGAAGTAAAATGCATTGTTTTTTTCACTTTTAATTCAAATTTTACACAGAATTAAATAAATGACTGGGATTTATACATCAGAATATGATAAATAGCTCAAATATTATAAACTAAATTCTTAAAGAATATATAAAAATGTGTATTTTTGTCATGGAGAAATTTGACATTCTACGATACAAAACATGCTACAGCATTAGTTTTTCAGAGACAATGATGCTATTCATAAACACAGTATACCATTGAAAGAATATCTATCCCTCATTCAAGAAGGTATCATACATCTAAAAGCTTTTTTCAGCAAGACTAATAGCTTAATAGGGTTAGATCTCATCAGCTTAATGTTTTCTACTTGATTTCAGTCTGAGAGGACTTTAACAGCTCCCAATGGAGGAGATTAGAACTATCATATCAAAGAATCATAAAATCCCTATAGTGTAGAAGCCAGCCATTCAGCCCATCAAGTCCATGCCAACTATCCAAACAGCATCCCACTCAGTCCCATCCTATCCGTGTAAACCTGCATCTCCCATGGCTAATCCACCCAGCCTGCAAATCACTAGATACTATTGGCAACTTAACATGGCCAATCCACCTAACCTGTACATGTTTGGACAGTGGGAGGAAACCAGAGCACCCAAAGGAAACCCATGCAGTTACAGGGAGAACATGCAAACTCCACACAGACAGTTACCCGAGGCTGGAATCAAACTCGGGTCCCTGGCTCTGTGAGGCAGCAGTGCTGACCACTATACCAACATGCTGCCCTACTGCTGGCAATTTCTGGACTTTCAATGTCATTACTGGTTAAAATTTATGGCATTGTATTTCCTGATCAGTTTTGCTTTTCCTGTTTAGTGCTAGCTTACCAAGAAAAAATGTTACACATAGAGATGAAAATATGACAAACTTGTATCATCCAAACTGTCAGAAATAATACATTGATGTTTCACTGGTCTAAAAAGGTTATTATTTTGTGACAACACTAAGTGTTAAACACCCTCTCATAATCTTGGAGAAAACTTGAATATATTTTAACAATGGAAAAATACTTCACTGAATATAATCATCATTAGATTATACCCTTTCCCAGAAACTGTGAAAACACATAACAACAGTAAAACTTCAAATTTTGAATCATAAATCAAAATACCTAAAACCACCTTTAAAGAATTTTGAGTACAAAACACTTTTCAGATTTCCTGCAGCAAATGGCATAACATATTAGTTCTAATGCAGCTCAGCTTTGTTATCCCACTGTTGGTGCCAACTGTAATATTTGGTTTTAGTCCATCAACTTGAAATAAGTGGAGCATTGTAGGGATGAAATTTATTTGGTAAAATAAATGCAACCATGCAAGTTGCTGTACATTTTCCGTATAGACCACTTAACCTAAGAAATGGGATTCATTTTTAGAAGGGCTGTTTTGCCTTCAGAAGACAATCTTTATATTAAGAGAGGAAAGATGAACAAATATGCAGAAGTAAATGAAGCCATAACAAAATAATATTCTGATGAAGCCAGAGACATTAACACATTAACAACAGAGTATTGAATTCAGAAATGATTCAAAAGAAATTGAATGAGCAGAAATATATTAAACTGTCAGGTTATAGAGAGAAAAAAAAGGACATTATGAAAGATCTAGTTCTTTGGCAGTGGTATAGCACAGCATGTACACATATCAATAAGAGTGACTGAAAAGAACAATTACTCTTCCCCATGGGCGAGTCACTCCATACATTCCTACATACCTGCTAGGTCTGATGACTGAATGGCATTAGCTTATACTTACACCTGCTTAGGATGCCATTCAGGCAATAATGTTTGATCACTGACAAAGGGGCCAGGATACAATTAAAAATGAAAACTACGAGCAACAATTTCAATATATATACAATATATACGTCTGTATTTTTATTGCATTTTTGACATGATGTAAAAACAGCCTTACATTTTTGTCCATGTTCTGTTGCCTCGCCAAGTTACACACCACCTGGAGCAGAGAATATTGATCAATGACCTACTTTCAGACCATGGCTCTTCAATGAAAGGCATGAATTAGTTACTCAGAAATAGTCACAAGCACATAGATGAAAGCAATTCTAAATCTTTTGCCTCTATTCCCAGATACATTGTTTCAATCATTGGTCTTCCACATCCAAGTTGCTGAGGAAAGGAATCAGTGGTATAAAAATTCTAACAATCTAATTTACGAATCTCATAATTTCAATAGCAAATCATATTTCTTAACAATGAGTAGCTAGACTAAAATTAAATTCATTTTTAATGCTATTTTTCACTAATATAAGGAAATGTGAGAGGTACAGTTAAGGAGATGGAGAGGTTATTTTTTGCAGCCAGGCTGCTCTCCAATTTAACAGTAAGTACACTTGCCAGGTTCTCTCAGTTCTTTTTTACAGTAAGAGTGGACATGCTGAGGTTCGACTTGTCTCCAAAGGTATTAACAGTATCAGTGTTAGCCACAAAACGCCTTCAAAGTTTTGGAGCCCAAAGTAAAGAGTGGCAAACATGGAATTACACCTGAATGTAAATTAGTAATGCGTTTGCAGCTAACTCAAATTGATAGTAACAACATTTTGTATTTATATTGTGCCTTTAACATAAAATGGTTCAAATTGTTTTACAAATACACTGTAAAATAATTTTTTACATCTAGCTATGTAAAAAGATATTAGGATAGTTGACCAAAGGTATTTTTTTTTTAAAAGAAGATCTTTAAGGAACAAAGAGAGGTAGCAAGGCTTAAGGTGGGAATTCCAAAGCATTAGGTTTTTTTTTGGCAGCTGAAGGCATGGGCACTAAAAACAGACAAAGTAAAATCAGGATTTCTCAAGATTCCAGAACTAAATACAGATATTTCAGAGGATGGTGGGGCTGGAGGAAATTAAAGATCGAGAAGGGCAAGGGCACTGATGAAAGTGAAAATAAGGCGCGAATTTAAAATACAATGTGTTGTTTCATTGGAATCTAATATCAACCAACTAACACAGGAGGAAATTGCCTTCTGACAAAACATCATTAACTGAAAATGTTTATTCTGTTTCCACAGATGCTTCCAAGCCTGTTGAATAATTCCAGCATTTCCTGTTTTAATTTCAGATTTGCAGCTTCTGGTGAATTTTGCTTTCACATTTGTGCAATGTACTTTCTGTCTCGGCTGTAAAATGTCTTATTTGATGTGAGTTTAGACAGTTCTGAATCAGTATTGTTTGTCACTGTTAACAGTAGAAAACAACTCATAATTCTGCATAAATCTACATTAAAATTGTCAGTCTTATTTAAATCCACAGGATTTGTGGTTATAAGATGTGCAAATATAGTGCTATTGTGTTGTGGTTTGCTTCCCTAACTCAGGCACAATGTTAATTAGTATATCAGAAGGCTTATCCTGCACAAAACTTTACTATAGCTGACTTGCGAATTTGAGGCTGTCAACTCTCAAGTGTGTCCATCAAATTCATTTGGCATGTTGATTAAGCGAATTGAAGTTATTTCACCTCTTTTAGGAACCTATGTGCTCTATCCATTCAATCAGGGTCTTCAGCTGTAAACCAGTTACTGCTGGGGCCATCCTCATTTGGAGAAGCTATTATTTTCAATAGATTTATTTCGTAGGACAAGCTGTTGAGAGGTTTACTCTCTCCAACTCAGCATACTTTACAGAGGCTGGTTTAGCATTGGCATCAGTCAAATTGCTTCAGGCCCTTACTTGTGATCTGCAATTGGAACCCAATTGGTGACTGCAGTATGTTGGCTTTATGCCAATGAAGCTGCATTTTGAGTGGACCTCAGGCAAAATCATTGAACATACAGTCACTTCTTGATGACCATTTTATAGTGGTTTCCAGCATGATGCCAGTTTTGCAATCTTTATTATTTACAGTTAGAAGCTTTCCAACAGAGTTGCTGAACAAGAAATTAAAATTTGGTTAGAATTAATCTTAGGATATATTAGTTTAAGAATGCACATATTTCCCTTTTTAAATGCATTACTGATTAATGAAACCAAATGATTTTATACTTTGTGACCTTAAGGAAAATTACGTGCTCAATTTATATTTTTATCCACTTGAAGTTCTCCTTTAAGTGATGTAAAACATATATTAAAGAATCATCATAATTCACTAAAAACCAGTATTTGCTGAGATATTTATGAATGAATCTCAAAACCCCAGCTGTTCAATACGTTATCTTTACATTTCTGAGGTTACCAGTCTCCAGTCCAGGATCAAATCTACGTTATATATCTATGTAGTGTAAGGACTGCATTAATATATGTTTGACCAATAGCAAACATAAGGGACAGAATCTTCTGTCTTGGGTCTGGACCCTGACATCAGGATCCAATAGGTATTCTCACATCACATTGTAAAGGGCCAGTCAGCCAACATTGGTTTTGGCTGGATTGGCCAGTACCATTAAGGGAAAGGACACCTCCATCCTGAGCACTTACAAAATATTTGTAATAAAAAATGGTCATAGCTACTAGACCACTGTTGTAGACAGGGAAGCCCGGGGTGATCCTGCAGTGTTGGTCCCATGGTCTGCTGCTGGGCAGCCTCATTCAGGCATCTGCTACGATCCTAATGCTGCACTGGGCTGCAGTCTGACAGGAAATTGGCATCTGATCATTTGGCTCTCAATTAACCTAACAAGTGCTTCATTAATTGCAAATGGGGAACATGATCCAGCCTTCCTGAAAGTGGCTTTGGTACGTGATGGTGTTAGCAAACTGGCATGAAATTACAAACCCATCCACACCAGTTTCACTAGCTTCGGAAAATTGCCCATGATTGAAAGTTTTTCACTCTGAAGCAATAATATCTGTGAAATTAATTCCAAAATTTTACAAATTTAGTTACAATGCAATAATCTGTTAATTATTAATATATTTCCTTGTTTCAAAATAAGACATGGTTCAAATTAGACAGCAAGTGCATGCAAAAGTACTAACAAGCATTCAAGATCACATTTAGAAGAAGAAACATGTATAGAACTGTGGAATCTGTCCAGTTACAGTGCTTTATAATTAAAAATAACGTGTGCTGAAATGCAGCTGCAGGCCTCAGAAGATGGTTACATTCGTTTCAACATCATTCAGTCTTGTTTTGGATTGAAGTATTTTTATCTGACTTTATGAATGTCAGGGGCATCTTTGAAATGATATGCTGTTGAAGACTTCATGAAACCCAAGCTATAACCATGCAACAATGTTGCTTCCAAAGTCTCAATCTTCGACTCATGCTAGTTCATAGTACTTCCCCGTTTTTGGATCAAAGTAACAATTCAAACAAGGATCATACAACAGATCCAGTACTTCATCTTGATCTTCAGCATTATTCTCAGTATTATCTGTCAAATATAAGACAAAACAAATATAATATAAAAGGATTATGAGGCACAAGTGAAAACAATCCATTCTCTCAAAATGTTTGTCTGCATTTTGTGGTTCTTTTTACAATTTTGGCTAAGAAATCAAGAATAAAGTGGACATAATAGATTCACTCACTAGCATGAAAAACAACAAGATTGTTCAAATTTGTGCCAAGCACCTCTAATGCTATCAATTCATCAAAACTAAATGCATTGAGTAGATGCTTTTTCTTTTCCAATATTTTTAAGATTCAACTTTCAGTATTTTCTTCTTTGAGTTACAAGGTTGAGTGCAGAAATCTTGCTGACACTCCAATTTGAAAGAGTGATACACTGAAAGCCATCTTGCAGCTGAGGTGTTATGTCAAGGCCCTATCTGTTCTCTCAGCTGAACTCAACAGAAGCAAGGCCATCATTTCAAGCAATAGGGGAGATCATTGTTGGTGAACTTTACAACATTCACCCTGCAATCAACATCTAAACAACTGATTTGCTGGTCATGATCATTTTGTTGTTTCTGAGAGGTACTATTTCCAAATAGTCTACTGTGGTTCCTGCGTTACAACAGTGACTAAATTTTGAAAAAAAAATTAATGGTTGTAAAGCAGTATGGGATGTCTGGTGGTCATGAAAGGTGCTACATAAATGTTTGTCTTTTTTATAAACTTGAGTTTGCAGTTCATGTAGACACAGAGACTGGAGGGTTGGTTTAGTACCTATCAGTGGTTCACAGAATTATGTCTTGTGTTTGTAAAGCACTCCTTACAATAGAAAAGGAATTTAAAATAAAGATTATGCAAAGGATAATGATTGGAATTATGTCACAAAGCAGTAACACATTGAGGGACTGAAATGACATCAGTCATTGAGATAAAGTCAGCTAATTAGGAATATGATCCAAACCCTGAGGTATTTTGAAGTCTTGAAACACATTTCTATGCCTTTATCAAAATTGCTAATCTCAAAACTGAGATTACCAGATAGTGGTTAGCCAAATACATTAGGGGATATGGGGCAAATGAAGCCTTGCAGAATTAGGGCACACATTACAATGATTTTATCAAATTACAAATCAGTTTCAGCAACCAAATGGATTTTCTGTGCTCCAGTGTCCGTACAGTGTTCCATGATATTGATCCAGTAACAATGAAACAAGAGCAGTCTATATTCAAGTTAACATGATGTGAGATTCAGAGGCAATTTGGTTTAATAGTGTACCCACACCCTTGCTGCTTTCTTCTTTTCAGTGGTAGACATTGCAAGACAGAAAAGTGCTAAGAAAATAATCTTGGCAAAGTGCTACAATATATCCTGTGGACGTACTACAGCAACATCTCATTGGTGGATCTTACTTCTAAAGACAGGAGCAATTGAACTATTCATACTGGGATAAAATCAAGTATCTTATTTGTTTCAGTGTCTGTACTGATCCAGTGAATGGTCCTGACACCATAGGAAAGCAATCTGTTTTCCTTTCTCAGGATGACAGCTGCTGCCACTCAAGCTACAATTTCCACAAGTGACCTTGCTTGTACACTATCCAACAGGCACAGACTGCTGCAATTTACACAGATAAACTGCAATGTCAAGCTGATCCATCTAGGCACAGAGCTGTTTGAGGTAGTCCTCCCAAAGTCAGCTGAAATATCCTCAATGGAAGTTCAATTATACAGTCAAATTTCCACGCTTATTACTGTTCCTGTCTGTGTGCTTCGCTACAAAACAAACAAAAAATCCACTCAGCATTTACAGAAGCAAACTAGTCAGCAATATTGAGAAATATTTTGCATACAGAGTTATACAGTTATATAGTACAAAAACAGATCCTTCAGTTCAACTCGTCCACACTGACCAGACATCCCATTTGCCAGCATTTGGCTCATATCCCCCCAAATCCTTCCTATTCATATACCCATCCAGATGGCTTTCAAATGTGGTAATTGTACCAGCCTCCACCACTTCCTCTGGCAGCTCATTCCATACACGCATCACCTTCTGCATGAATGTTACCTCTCAGGTCCCTTTTAAAACTTTACTCTCTTACCTTAAACTGATGCCCTATCCATGCCCTTCATGATTTTATAAACAATTAAGATCACCCCTCAGCCTCTGACACTTCAGGGAAAAAAAGCCCCAACGCATTCAGCCTCCCTCAAAAACACAAACCCCCAAGTCCCAGCAATATCCTTGTAAAGGGAGACATGGTGGCTCAGTGGTTAACACTGCTGCCTGACAGCACCAGTGACCTGGGTTCGATTCTAGCCTCAGGTGACTACCTATTCCCCCAATGTCTGCATGGGTTTTCTTGGGGTCCTTCAGTTTTCTCCCACAGTCCAAAATGTAGAGGTTCAGTGGATTGGCCACACTATAGTGTCCAGGGATGTGCAGGATGAGTGGATTAGCCATGAGAAATACAGGGATAAGGTACAGGTGTGGGTCTGAGTAGGATGGTCTTCAGAGGAACGGTGTGGACCCAACGGGCTGATTGGCATGCTTCTGCACCGTAGGGATTCTATGATTCTAAATCTTTTCTGTACCCTTTCAAGTTGAACAACATCTTTCCGAAAGAAGGGTGTTACAGAGGGGAAGTCAACACCTCTCTGATAATTAAAACCAAAACCCCCAGAGAAACTTGCTTCACTTTGTAATCTGTTAAAGGAAATGTGAAAGTGGTAGAACCTGCCTCTCACCTCCCAATCTTTTATAAAGAAGAGGTGAAATAAAATGAACTCCTGACAGTCACTCTACAATCAACAAGTAACAATTTATTTATCTTAGAGATTTCTGTGAGAGCCAGTGAGTTTCTCTTCAAATAGCAGTTTGCTCTCACCCCGATTTTGAAATAACGACTTCTTTTATACCGTTGATGACCTACCAATTTCTTACAGTGGGATTGGTCCAAGGTTGTCAAAACCATCAAATTTAAATTGATTGGTTCTAATTTTCGAAGTGCCTGGTTTAAATGAATTGATTGATATTCAAACTGGTTGCCTTGGAAAGACTGCAGATTTTTTTTCTGACTGTACAGCCTTTGATACAAATGTTTCAATTTTGAGAACTCAGTGCATCTGCAAACTTCTTAAAAAAAATCTCCAAGCCTAGACAAGCACATCATCTTTTAAAGGGACCGTGTACTCTCACCCCCTATCATTTTACAAACAAATTCTAATGTCCTGCCTTTCAATCCACAAGTACTATACCCAACTTTGCAATGTGCCTCTAAAGAAAAAATGAACCATCATTATGAGAAGATGACTTGATTTTCTTTTTCTAAATCTTAATGCCACTATTACTAGATACATAGATCATTAATCTAGAGTTACACGTTTCATACTAATTCTATATACATATATACAACACTGAACACTAATGTGTCTATTTTATGTATACATTTTCCTTTTAAACCTGTAATAACGCATCTGCAATAGCATTTTCACGACCCGCAACATGTACAATCTGTAAATTAAATTGTCTCTTCATGGGGTACGTGGAACATTCCTTGTTCCAGTCCTATTCCAGCCCCCACCCACAACTCTTTCTCCGATACATCAATGATATCATCGGTGCTGCTTCCCTCTCTCGTCTAGAATTGGAAAACTTCATCAATTTTGTCTCCAATTTCCACCCTGCCTTCACTTTCACCTGGTCTATCTCAGACTCCTCCCTTCCCTTCCTCAATATTTCTGTTTCCATTTCTGGGGATAGACTGGCCACTAATATCCATTACAAACCCACTGACTCCCACAGCTACCTGGACTATACATCCTCACACCCCACTTCCTGTAAAGACTCCATCCCATTCTCTCAGTTCCTCCGTCTCCGTCGCATATGTTTAGATGAGGCCAACTTCAACAAGGGAGCCTCCGAAATGTCCACATTCTTCCTCAACCGAGGATTCCCCAGCTCCGTTGTCGACAGGGCCCTCAATCGGGTCTGAACCATTTCCCGCACTTCTGCCCTCACCCCTTCTCTTCCCTCCTGCAACAGCGATAGGGTTCCCCTTATCCTCCCCTACCATGCCACCAGCATCTACATCCAGAAAATCATCAGATGCCATTTCCGCCACCTCCAGCAAGATGCCACCACCAGACACATATTACCCTCCCCTCCCTTGTCCGCCTTCCGCAGGGACCATTCTCTCCGGGACACCATGGTCTACTCTTCCTTCATCCCCAACACCTCCCCATAGCCCTACGGCACCTTCCCCTGTAACCAGCGAAGGTGCAACACCTGCTCATTTACCTCCTCCCTCCCCAGTATCCAAGGGCTCAAACATACCTTCCAGGTGAAGCAACACTTCACCTGCACTTCCAAGAATCTAGTCTACTGCATTCGCTGCTCACAATGTGGTCTCCTCTACATTGGGGAAACGAAGCATAGACTTTGTGACCGCTTCGCAGAACATCTACGTTCTGCTCGCAAAAAAGACCCTGAACTACCTGTTGCCTGCCACTTCAATGCACCATCCTGCTCCCTGGTCAACATCTCTGTCTCCGGCTTGCTACAGTGTTCCAGTGAAGCCCAACGCAAGCTGGAGGAACAACACCTCATTTTCCGCTTGGGGACGCTACAGCCCTCCGGACTCAATATTGAGTTCAATAATTTTAGGGCCTAAACTCTCCCATGTCCCAGCCCCCCAGCCCACACACCAGGCCTTGTTACCACACAGCCTGCCAGTACACACCCCCTGTTGTTAGTCACTAACAGTCCCCATTAACAACTATTCACCCTCCCAGCCTGATCGTTAGCAACTCCTTTGTCTGTCCAACTGTCTTTCTCTCTCTTTGGGCTCTATCCTATCGTTTATTCCCTACCCCACCCACCTCCTATTTTCTGCATATAAACTGACGTTTTCCCAGCCATCATCAGTTCTGAGGAAGGGTCACCGGACCCGAAACGTTAACTCTGTTTCCTCCTCCACAGATGCTGCCAGACCTGCTGAGCTTTTCCAGCAGCTTTGTTTTTGTTCCTGTAAATTA